TTCAGCCGAGGTTAAGCTCCAATCGTTAGTTGAACATACAATTCAAAGATTACTTTGCGTTCAAAATGAAGTGCTTGAACATATCACCAATAGTAGTAGTAGTATTATTAAAGAAATGGACATATATTTCAAGTGGGGTTGTGATGGTGCAGCGGGACAAAGTTGTTATAAACAAGTTTTTGAACGAAGAAAATGATGACTCATTTTTGTTTTCAATTTATATAGTGCCATTACGAATCATAGGTGTATTTGAAGATAAACAGGAATTTGTTATATGGCAAAATGAATAAAATTTGCAGTTGGTTATCTGATACGCCCGGTCAAAACTGTCACCTTTGTGGAACTTCTCCGAAGCAAATGAATGACATAGATGTATTAAAACGAGTGATAAAAGAAGATAGCATACAGATTAGAGATATGTAAATGGCAAGTCAGGAAAGAAGATAAGGAAAAAGTAGAAACAAGGAAGAAAGAAATACAAGAAAAATTTCGTCGTAACATGGGTCTTCTGGTTGATATGCCTAAGCTAGGTTTTCGGACAACCAATGACGGCAATACAGCCAGACGTTTTTTCAAAAGTCCTGAACTAGCTTCTGAAATCACAGGAGTGAATGAACATTTTATAAAACGAATAAGTACCATTTTAATTACCATTTCCTGTGGTTTCGAAGTAACTGCAAGGTACTGCAAGGATCTATGTTAATTTGTATCCTTGGTATTATATGCCACAAAGTTTACATAAAATATTATTTCATGGGGAAGATCTAATCAAAAAGTCGGTTTTACCTATTGGACAAATGTCCGAAGAGGTACAAGAATCACGAAATAAGGATTCAAAACAATATAGACAGTTAAACTAAAATTAGAACTAAAACTAGAACTAACACTAGAAACTTTCGGGTTTTGCCGTGCGTCTTTTAAGAAAAGGTTTGACCTTCTTCAGAAACTGGTTCGAAGATATGATGCACCTGCTACTCGTATCATCCGATCCACTAATTAGTAGTTTGCGACCATCACAACCTAAGAAAAGTAGCATTTTGCCATCAGAAGTTAAAAAAATGATTAAATGTAGCATAAATGATAGTGTGAAAGTGAATCTTATAATAGTGACATAGACAATAACTAAGAAATAAAAAGCGTTTTCTTTTTCTGTTTTCAGTTACATGTTACACTTTAAAAACTGGTATTATTTGATTTTGTGCCATTATATCAAAAACCATTGCCTTAAAGCATTTCTTCGTTTATTTATACTTTGTACGTTAATTTTCTTTTATTTTAGTACTTTTTCAATAATATATCCTTCAATATTTACAAACTATTCAACTAAAGTAGTGTTCTAGCTTTTCGTAACTTTTTCAAAAGTTAATTATATATTTTATCATACAAAATAATTTTGCTCGCTTAGATCCACAAAAGTGACCGCTGTGCGTCCTGTCCACTTGATCTTCTAGAACTTTTTGAAATTACGAAACACAGTAAAAATGAAAATTTCTCAATTTTAAACGATCAAATTAGTAATAATTATAAGCCACCTTTATGTATTTGGATGCAAATGATTGATTTTTGATTTTGTCGCTTTGTTGTTTGTTGTTTTTTATTTTTCACGATTTGCGGGTTGTTATCTTTTTCTTTTCCTTCTTATGTGACTTCTCTTTCTGGTTTTCGAGTTCTTTTTCTTTTTTCTTCTCTTTTCCGTTCTTCTCTCTTCTTTTCCCAATAGCACATATTTACTTTGAATAACGCTAACTCCTGCACATGTTTTCTAGTGTTTCTCGTGTGATTTTCGTGCATTTCTACCTTCAATAGTTTATTGTTTCTTAATTATGGATGTTCCTGTTTTTCATGTTTACCCCTATTGACAGTAAGTTATTATTTTTTATTTCTGAATGAAACGAATGTTTCTTTTTTATATTTTTGTTTCTAATTATACCTAATTATATTTCAAATTTACATTAATTTTTCTTTTTTTGTATACAGCTTGTCGCTGATGATGGGAGTGTTTCCCGATAAGTTAAAGAAGTTTTTAACCAGTTTTTCCATGATAATAAGTTGTTCCATAAGTTTGAGAAATAATACTGTTATTATTAAAATGCTGAGATGTAGGACAACCAGTGATGGGCGTTGGGTAAATACCCGGCAGGTAGGTATTTCTAAAATGGGTATTTATCCGGGTATTTACCCCGGTCCAGGGTAAATACCCAAACAGTACAAAAGTGATACCAGTCAAAATATATCAGATTCAAAAAAAAAAATGAAGAGGAAGATGATGACAACGTTGAAGACGAGGAATTGTCAACAATCAAAGACGTATTAATTTAGATTACATAGATCAAGTTATTATGATTATTATCATCAAGCAGCCCTCTGCGTCCATTGTTGGACATAGACCTCCCCTATTCTGTTCCATTTGATTCTATTCTGTGCTGTCTGAATCCAATTGTTTTGACGTCTACATTGTCTGTTCGCTCGCGGTATCCACTCAAGCAACCGTTTTGTCCACTGCTCATTCTTCATTCTCGCGACATGATCACGACTTGATGACCACCAAGTTCCACTTAAGCTTTGCCACAATGTTGACCACCAGTTTATTTACGCCAGTTCTTCTTCATAGGTCTTCATTTCGTATGTAGTCCCTCAGAGTTAGACCCAGGATCGACCTCCCCATCTATCTTTGCGTTACTTGGACCCTCCTGGCAGTGGCTGCCGTTAATGTTAATGTTTCGGAGCCTTATGTCATAACCGGAAACAAGCATTGACTGAAAGCCTTTTTTGGCCTTTTCTCTTCAACATGTCTCTAAGTTTTCCGTAGGCTACCCATACGAGTGTGATCCTTCTGTTTAGTTCACTTGTTTGATTATATCTCGATACACGAACCTCATAGCCAAGATATACATATCTGTCAACCCTCTCAATCTCAGTATCCCCAATGTTGATGATTGAGCTGGGAACAAGATTTATCATCAATTTTGATTTCTCTTCGTTGATATTTAGCCCGACTCTTGCACACACCTCCTTTAAGTCGTTGAAAACTATATCGTCCGCGTAGCGCAAATTACTTAAGCATTTGCAATCAATGTTTTGGCTTTTTGGGTCCAATCTAGTTGTCTAAATGCACTCTGAGGACTGTGATGAACAATTTGGGTTCAACAGTGTATCGCCTTGTTTTACTCACAATAAGTACTTTACTACTTCTACTCTCTTCAGTACTTTCATGCAATTTTACCGTCATTGTAGCATCGATAATCGACTCTGCATTCTTGAAGTGCTTGCAAAACTGCCATCAACTCAATTTAATTTAAATTTTATAAATACCTCTAAATACCATCTTGGGTAAATACCCCCGTATATATATCCAGAAAATTTACCCTTGAAAATAAATACCCGGGTATTTCACAACACTGGTGTTTGGTGATTGAGGGTCGGTTAATCAATAAACTTCACTACAGAAGTTTTCAACATCTTCGGCCAGGTCTTTGTTTTCATGTTTTGTTTCTCCAATGATTTAATTTCCATTTCCTTTATTTTCTTTGTTTGTGATATTTTTTTTTCTAATTCTCATTGAATATATTCATATATTCTTCTACGTGTTCATTGGTACGAAATGTTTTTGAGCTTATAAGTTTATTCAAGTTTATTTACAGTATTTTAAGAAGATCGCCAATATATTCTTTCCACCCAATCACTTTTTCTTTTACGTCCATCCAGATTTTGTTGTTAGTGCCACTTAGCTTAGGATCTCTTCGTTGTGTTTTTGTTTATTGGTAAGATCTTTTGATGTATTACATTTCCTTTGCACTTCTTTAATCTACTCGCAATGTTCTTTTAGCCACCTTTTTTTGCTTTCTCGACAAGCTCTTCAAATTTGTTTGTTTAGTGCATTATATTTGTTAAGATTTTTATTTTTCTGTAATCACCTCTCGTTAATAAGTTGTAGAATTTTGGCATGTATCAATTTTTTTTTGTTTTTTTGCTACGTGTATACCGTATATCAGTATTTTAAGTGTCTTCTGTTGTTTTGAATTGATCCCAGCATATTTCTTTCATTCCTTGAAATCAGCAGTCTAATTTCTCTGCCATTTGAGCACAGAGTTCTGAGTTGTTTAGTAATGGAGTAATCAAAATGTGTGGTTTTGGAATAGATAGATGTGTGGAATAGAGGATGCATGGCGTGTTTGGAATTAAAAACGGATGAATAGTAAGGAATAAGAGCCTAACTGGACGCAATGAAGTTGGCAGCTAACAGAGAGGAGTGGAAAATTTTTGTTTCAAGCGGATACAATTACATAGAAAACTAGAGGTGAGAACCTCTAGTTTTCTATGTACTGACGAACATAAAGAGGATTGATTATAATGATAAAAAAGTTTTAACCCAATATTTAATTTATATAGAGTAGGCAACCCAAATAACCGAGTAATCAATTTCTATAAAATACATAATTACATTCAAAAATTTTAGTTTTCTTCGATTAAATCATCCTTTTTTAATCGAAATATGAATTAGTAAATGTAAAATAACTCAATTCATCAAAAATACGGAAGAAAATATTATTTCAAGAAGATTGTTGGTTTGATTTGATTTATATTTGGCTAAAAAATAATTAAAAAAAAATTTATCTTTAAATTCATTAATTTAAAATTTTATTAAAGATTAAATATTTAAAATTTATAAATAAATATAAATAATTCTTAAAATAAATTTAGAATAATTGTTTGTTGTTAATTTGACTCATATTTAAAAATATACAGGACTTTGACAGCTTTTATCAGATTTTGACACTTAAATTTATTTATTTTGTGTAATTAAAGCTGATAAATACTTAGCAACAAAAATATATATAAAATGATTATTTAATTTAAATTGAATTGTTAATAATTTTTAATTAATTTAATTTGATGTGTTTTAAGTACGAAGTACAAAACAACAAGAACAATGTACTCTAAAAGTTATTTTGTTTCTGGGAAGTTCCATTCCCGTTATATTACTTTCTTGAAACTCGTAATAACGAATAAAATGACGTGTACTTTTTATTCTTATCAAAAAAATGTAAAAGTCGATAACATTATTATGTACAAATTTGAGAAAATAAATTATGGTTCAACAACTCCGAGTTCAACAAAACTTTTCTTCTGAGTTCCTCTTTTCCACCAAATTTTTTCCGGTGGCATTATTGTATAATACTTGTATTTATAATTAATGGACATTAAATCAGATGGGGCAGCCTCTAAAAATCAATACAAATCAATTTAATTTCTTATTATTAATAACTTTAATGATGTGGTTATAACTTACCCAAATTATTAAAATAAATAAAGCACAAACAGCACCAAGAAAGTAGGACAATGAAACGGAACTGCATCCTCGAAAGAAATCTACTCAAGAACAACAACTTTGGTCTCTTTCGAACAATTCGAGCGTTAATCGGTAAATAAAGTTAAATTATTTCTCGGTAAATATTTATATACACGTTTTACATCCTTGGAATTTAACTCCAAGATAGTCAACGGTTTAAAAACCAATAGACCCACAGGTACGTACGTATATTTAAGAGGTTCTTTTCTCTTCTTATCGTTTCAGCTTAACGTTTACGATATTACGACCTGATTACTTGAAGGTTTATAAAACACTTGATTATTCTTTACAATTTTTTTTATACATTTACTTTTTTGTACCAAACACAATAAGAGTATTAACATTAAAAAAGAAAAGTTATGGATCATTAGAATTGTATAAAAATAAAATTGGAAGTCATTTGAAGAATTTCTAGGAAGAATATTATAGAAAGAAATTATTATGTAATCAAAATTACATAATATTTCAACCATGTCATTGCTAATTAGTATTGTAACTTTCTTTGAGAAAGTGATTTTAAATTAGTGAATTTTATTTATGTGCTTTCCACATTTCAATTATTGTAGATAACTTCGACATTCTAAACATGTAATTCATTTTACTTCTACTTCACTAATACTTAGATAATATTTAGAACAATTATTGTAATAATTAAAACAAATAATAATGTTAATGATATTACACGTTGTTTTAGTTTATATTTAAAACAAACAGTAATTTTAGTTGTTTTACGTTTCCTTTTGGTTTATTTAATAAATTTTATGTTAATAATTGTTATCATTAAAAAACATTTAGAAAACATCGCCATAAATATTTCGCTAAGTTAATTTAAACACAAAATTTTTAATCTTCGGGTATAGTATTTAATTGACTCTGTTATAATAAAGCTATTACTTTTGCAATTAATCCTGCAGATAAAGTTAAAGTTAATTGCACACTTCCCGCTAAATATGTTGTCTAAAGGGGGAAGTTGTTGCAAATTATATGTTCTATGGATGAATTCTCGTATATAATATCTCGTATAAATATAGTCCATTCCACAAGTAATGCTAATGACTCATCGCTTAAAGCTGTACGACATTAGTTTTGAACATAAAGCACTTTTTATCTTGGTTTTAACTTGAAAACGAAAGCCGATACAATAAAAAGTTCCTCTTTATTTCCGGTTTTAAATTTAATTCTGAATCGAAAAGGAATAATAACGTTTTTTATATCTCCATTCGGTCTTGAGATATTGCGTACGATAATCATTGATTTAACGAAAATCTTCGGAATTAATGGATTTAAAAGAGAATATCTCAAAAATGAAAGCCGATACAATAAAAAGTGTCCCTTTATTTCCGATTTTAAATTTAGTTGTTAAGCGAAAAGAAAGAATAATTTTTTTTCATATCGTACTTAGTTCTTGAGATATTTCCTCCGACAATCATCGATCTAACGAAAATTTTCGGAATTAATGGATTTAAAAGGGAATATCTCAAAAACGAAAGCCAATACAATAAAAAGTTCATCTTTATTTTCGATGTTAAATATAATTCTGATTTGAAAAGGAATAATAACATTTTTTATATCTCCATTAGTTCTTGAGGTATTGTCTAAGATAATCATTGATTTTACGAAAATCTTCGGAATTAATGGATTTAAAAGAGAATATCTCAAAAACGAAAGCCGATACAATAAAAAGTTCCTCTTCATTTTCGAATTTAATTTTAATTCTGAATCGAAACGGAATAATAAAATTTTTTATATCTCCATTACTTCATGAGATATTTCCTCCGACAATCATCGATTTAACGAAAATCTTCGGAATTAATAGATTTAAAAGGGAATATCTCAAAGATGCAAGCTGATACAATAAAAAGTTCCTCTTAATTTTCGATTTTAAATTTAATTCTGAATCGAAACTGAATAACATTTTTATATCTCCATTGGTTCTTGAGGTATTATCTACCATAATCATTGATTTTACGAAAATCTTCGGAATTAATGGATGTAAAAGAGAATATCTCAAAAACGAAAGCCGATACAATAAAAAGTGCCTGTTTATTTTCGATTTTAAATTTAATTCTGAATCGAAAAGGAATAATAACATTTTTTATATCTCCATTAGTTCTTGAAATATTTCCTCCGACAATTATTGATTTAACGAAAATCTTCGGAATTAATGTATTTAAAATAGAATATCTGAAAAACGAAAGCTGATACAATAAAAAGTTTCTCTTTATTTTCGATTTTAAATTTAATTCTGAATCGAAAAGGAATGATAACATTTTTTATATCTCCATTAGTTCTTGAGGTATTGTCTAAGATAATCATTGATGTTAGGAAAATCTTCGGAATTAATGGATTTAAAAGGGAATATCTCAAAAACCAAAGCCGATACAATAAAAAGTGCCTGTTTATTTTTGATTTTAAATTTAATTCTGAATTGAAAAGGAATAATAACATTTTTTGTATCTCCATTAGTTCTTGAAATATTTCCTCCGACAATCATTGATTTAACGAAAATCTTCGGAATTAATGGATTTAAAAGGAAATATCCCAAAAACGAAAGCCAATACAATAAAAAGTTCCTGTTTATTTTCGATTTTAAAGTTAGTTCTGAATCGAAAAGGAATAATAAAATTTTTTATATCTCCATTAGTTCTTGAGATATTTTCTTCGACAATTATCGATTTAACGAAAATCTTCGGAATTACTGGATTTAACAGAGAATATCTCAAAAATATAGGCCGATACAATAAAAAGTTCCTCTTTATTTTCGATTTTAAATTTAATTCTGAATCGAAAAGGAATAATAACATTTTCCCTATTTCGATTAGTTCTTGAGATATTTCCTTCGACAGTCATTGATTTAACGAAAATCTTCGGAATTAATGGATTTAAAAGAGAATATCTCAAAAACGAAAGCCGATACAATAAAAAGTGCCCCTTTATTTTCGATTTTAAATTTAATTCCGAATCGAAAAGGAATAATAACATTTTCCCTATTTCGATTAGTTCTTGAGATATTGTCTACGATAATCATTGATATAACGAGAATCGAACCATTTATGAATGAAAAATTTTTTGTTTGAAATTACAACAGTTTTGCTCCCAGATAGCCGGCCAAGTATGCACATCCGTACGCTGTGCGACTTGTTGCACGGTTAAAATTAATAAGATAAAAAATACGAGAAGATAAACCAAAATTTGTATTGTTTTAAGATTAATTATTTTATTAATTTAATTACATGTTTAATCATCCACCGAAACAACCCAACATGTTGGCCTTGCAATGCAAAAAATGTTACTTAGAAAATTTGATGCACGTTTTTAGGGGTCTTGAATCCATTTTATCTATTTATAAAAGTATATCTATATACTTAGTGAAACATATAAGTTGAGACGATCTAATAGCTCATAAATCATCAAATTTATCGAAAAAGTTAATAAAGCATTCATCATATAAAGGGGTAAAGTATTTAATATAAATTTTCAAATTCTACGGTTTACTTATAGCCCAAATAAAAAATAAAAGTAAAATTTTGACTCATCTTTGAAGGTTCATAGCTTGAAAACAAAAGAGTTGCCACGTCCTAGTAAAGTTTCCCGATTAAAATCTGAACCACCTGTATATCCTGACAAAGTATCACTTCTTAAATCCTAATCGTTTAGGTAAATAACTATTTTATGCTTAATCTCACTTTATACAAACACCAAATAAAATCGGTGATTTTTAAAAATTTATATAAAACAACTACTGTCTCCATGAAAACTTAAAATGTGGTACGACATAATCTCAAACAATCCTTTACAATCTTAAATAATTCATTGCTTAAATCCTAACCATTGCGGGGAAAATATTTTCATCCTCGACGTCACTAAACGTCAAATCAAATGTTAGATTAGATGGATTAGATAGTGATTACTAGATGATGATTAGTGATTCTTAAAAATTTATATAAAATGAATGAAATCATCATGAAATCATAAAATTTCTCTATAATCTCAAAATATTTCATTCTTTACATCTTAAGCGTTTAGAAGAAAATAACATTTTTCCTTTTTTTCCTCACTTTTAACAAATGTCAAATAAAATAGTAGATGGTTTATAAAAATTTATTTAAAAAGGATCGTTCGCCATGGAAACTTTAAATGTGGTATAACTTAACCTCAAATATTCCTCTACAACCTCAAGATGTTTCATTCCTTAAATCCTGATCGTTTCGGAGAAAACAATTTTCCTTAGCCTTATTTTTATTATAATGTACAGTCAAAAAAAAGAGAGATGCGTCGACTTTCGTTCGTATAGGCCGTCCAAATTACATTTTCGGGGTTCACTTTACATACTGTATATCAAGGTCCGTTGAGTATTGGTTATAAGGTTATCCAACTCGAACAAATTGACGTCATTGGAGGAAAAGTATAATATAATATACAAGCTGCCCATTATGTATGAAATATAGTATATGCAGGTGTTTCAGGTTTTTGTAGCAGGACTTTAACAGTCGATAGATCTTTTAAAATTAATACAAAAACTTCATATAAACATAGGCCGAGAAACCCTTTGTTTTGCAGATACAGGGTGTTCAAATTAAATTTTTAAATTGATTTTTATTTAATATTACTCTTGTATTTCAACCGATTCTTTTCAAATTTGGTGTACGGAGGTTTTTTGGCATGAGAAAAACGATTATGGAGTCCATTTTACTATAGCCGGTAGAGGGCTCTGTAACGTATTCTTTACGGATTAAAATAACGATAACTTTTCTGACAGTATACTTCTTGGCTTTTTGAATAAAAATTCTTATACTCGGTACTTTTTTAAGCAAAAACTTTACTCTTATCAAAATGCGCTAAAGTTGATCGTTTTCAAGATAATCCGCTTTTTATTATTCGATATAGACCAATTTTTTTTAGAGGATTGTTAAAGATAAGTATAAAGTAAGTTCACTAATGTTTAGGCATCAGTTGAGTAGGTAGTAGGTAGTTTATTGCATCAAGTGTCAAATCACCAGTAGTTGTTGATCGGTGTTAAATTGTTTTTTTTTATTTTTTGTTTGCTGCATAAAACTTTATAAAATGCCGTTTATTTTTCCTAATCAAGAGTTAACGGATATTCATTTTGAATATGGGTTTGCAAACGGAAATTCAGCAGAAGTAGCCCTACAG